GACCTTGACAGATAGGAGAGCTCTTGAAAGGAAAATGAGAAGGAAAGGGTGTTTCATTTAGTTTGAGGAAACTGTTGGGGAACAGAGCCGAGAGTGGGCGGTGTGGGAACAGTGATTCTGGTGCAGGATTTACAGTTCAATCTAGCAGATAGTCACTGAGGACAAATGACATATATTACTTCTATTTTGATTTTTCAGTGCCGGGGAGTTGAACGTGAATTTGGCCTAAATAAGAGAAACCAGTATAGAGGAGCTCGTGAATGTGTGGAAATAGAGGGCTGACTGATGGGTAGAAAACCCAGACTTGGTAACATTAAGAGGACAGGGCTGGGGAGAGTCCAGTGGGTAGGGATTGCACTGCCTTGCATGTGACTGACACCGTTTCTGTTCCCAACACTGGATCCAGTCCCCCAAGCACCTCCAAGAGTGATCCCTGAGCACAGAGCCAGGAGTAATGTCTGACACCTCCAGCTGCGGCCAAAGAAACAAACAAATAAGGATACAGATGAATAGAGGAAAGTGGCAAGATGCAAAAGGGAAGTTATATTCAAAGTAAAGCCCATATGATTCAGCAGCTCTGACAAGTCAGACTCTACAAGCTGAAGAAAATGCAGGGATAAAGTGAACAAACTCCATGAAATGAACACGTCCCCAAGAATACTCTGCCCAGCAAGGTTATCATTCAGACTTGAAGGAATGATATGAGCTTCATGGATGGGCAATAGCTTACAGATGCATAGCCTTGAAAATAGTTTTGTAAGAAGCATTAAAGGAGCTTCTGAAAGACAAGACAAACTTCTTAGCACTTTGCCACTGAGTACAGCATTCACTCATGGGCTTATGGTGCTTTTCTGCTAGATTAATAAAGGTCTGTTTATTACTAGTTTGCTAAGGGATTTTATGCTTTTTCAATAATGAATGAATGTTTCATTTATATTGAATGCTGTCTTTTAAAGTGATTTTTATATCTCTAGATCTTTTTATTACAATCTTTTACTTATTTATGGATATACTTAAGCACTATCCATAATATAATATTTTCTAATACAAAGCCAACATTCCCTTTTGTTGATAAAACACGTTTATAAGCCTATTCAGATTTTCTCATAAAATTTTCTTAATTTTCTTCTCCTTACTCTTACACCCAGCAGTGCTCAGGGCTTGTATATCCATAGGACTTATCTATTTCAAATGAATTTTAAAATGTAGCATTATAGAATTATTCAGACTATTAAGTTTCAAATTTTATATACCTGTGAAAAAAAGATATAAGGTTTTTAAAAAAATTCTTTTGTTTTTTTGGGGTCACACCTGACAGTGCTCAGGGCTTACTCCTGGCTCTGCACTCAGGGATCACACTTGGCAGAGCTTGGGGGACCATATATGGTGCCAGGGATCAAACCCAGGTTATCAGCTACAAGCAAGGCAAGCATCCTACCTACTGTATCACTCTGGTCAAAAGAATTTTGGGGGGAAAATTTTTTTTTGTCAACTTATCATTGATTTACCAATTTTGTGGAAATTCAGTAGATTATCTTTTTGTTGTGTTTTGCTTGGGCCACACCCAGCAGTGCCCAGGGACCACTCCTGGTGGTGCGCAGGGGACCATAAGGGATTCCGGAGATTGAACCTGGTTTGGCTGTGTGCAAGGCAAGTGCCCTGCCTGCTGTACTATGTCTCTGGACCCAGGTGTTTAGTTTTATTCATTTCTGTGTATGTAGGAGTAACCACCTCCACAATGAATTGAAAGAAAAAATGCTTTCATATGTGGGATATAGCACTGTAGCACTGCCCTCCTGTTGTTCATCGGTTTGCTTGAGTGAGCACCAGTAACATCTCACAACAAATTGTGAGACTTATTGTTACTGTTTCTGGCATATCAGATACGTCACAGGAAGCCTGCCAGGCTTTGCCATGCAGGCGATATACTTTCAGTAGCTTGCTGGGCTCTCCGAGAGGGGTGGAGGAATCGAACTCGGGTCAACCTCGTGCAAGGCAAACGCCTTACCCACTGTGCTATCACTCAGGTCCCATGTGGGATATAAAGTTCATAATAAGGGAACAACAGATGGCCAAAGTCATTGGAACGGGAGTTTCTGTCTGTACTTATATAGGATGGGAAGTGGCTGGGTGGGTTCCCAGGGACACTGGTGGGGGATGTGGGCACTCTGATGCTGATGTGCTGTTGGAATGATGTATGCATAAGTGGTGGATGAAAAGACTAGTGAACAGTATTGTGAATCTCGATACCTCAATCAGATGGTCACTGTCACTGTCACTGTCCTCCCGTTGTTCATCGATTTGCTCAAGCGGGCCCAGTAACGTCTCCATTGGAGACTTTGTTGTTACTCACATAGATACTCTCGTTAGCTTGCCGGGCTCTCCGAGAGGGGTGGAGGAACCGAACTCGGGTCGTCCATGTTGGCTGCGTGCAAGGCAAACGCCCTACCGCTGTGCTAATCAGATGGTTAAAAAGTAAAATTATAAAGGGCTGGAGCGATAGCACAGCGGGTAGGGCGTTCGCCTTGCACGCAGCCAACATGGACGACCCGAGTTCGATTCCTCAGCCCCTCTCGGAGAGCCCGGCAAGCTACCGAGAGTATTCGATATGCCAGACACAGTAACAACAAAGTCTCCAATGGAGACGTTACTGGGCCCGCTCGAGCAAATCGACGATCAACGGGAGGGCCTTTACTTTATAAAGGCCTTAGGTGGACTGGAGTGATAGCACAGTGGGTAGGGCATTTGCCTTGCACGCAACCAACCTGGGTTCGATTCCCAACATCCCATATGGTCCCTTGAGCACCACTAGGGGTAATTCCTGAGTGCAGAGTCAGGAGTAACCCCTGAGCATGGCCAGGCATGACCCAAAAAGCAAAAAAAAAAAAAAAAAAAAGAAAGAAAGCCTTAGGATGAAAAATGTTTGATCTTTCTCTGAGATTGTGAAGAAAGTTGAAAATTAGGTGAGTTATAAATGCCATTGTACCTGATATATAGAGAATTGATCTGTAAATCAAAAACATTTATTAAGGCCCTATTTTTTTTAGACCAGGTTATTAGGCACTGAGAAAGCAGAATTTATGGTCTTAATCTAGTGCTGGTTAACTTTTTTCTTCTTTGCCGATCCTTTGAATATAGTGGCCATTTATCTTTCAAAAAATTGCCTACAGTGTTTAAAATGTGACACTTTAGGACTGGGAAGATAGCTCCAAGTGCTCTAGTGCATGTTTGTCATGCATGAGGTCCCAGGTTTGATTCCCAGAATTTCATGTCTCATACACACACACACACACACACACACACACACACACACACACTGCATTGAATGGTCCCTAAACATGCTAGGAAAGTAAAATAAAATAATAGTATGTATCTTAAACATAAGAGGACCAAAAATAGCTTTTATTGTTGAATTAGTTTTATTATTGAATATTTGAATTCTAATTGAAATACTTTTTCTTCTTTGATACTTATATTTGGTAGAAAGTCCAGTATTATTGGGAAGTGATATTACACACTGATTACTCTATAAAATTATATTATTTTGTTATTTTGTGTGAAAGCCCTTTGGGAAAAAAATTCGTGGAGCATAGTAGAGTGATCAAACATTTCTTTTTCTGAATCAAATGTTGTATTTGGATATAAAATCACTATCTGTAGTTATTTCTTTAGTAATTTAGTTTCATCTAAGAGTGTAGAATATTTCATGTAGATGGTGGGTTAAAGGGAGAGTTTGTTGGCATGATTTTGGCAGATCTCTGCAAATTTAACTCTAGCTTTATTCTCCTAATTTCATATTCCAGAAGCATTTAACAATCTCTGTTATTGCACTGAGAATATTTTTGTGAGACTTACTCTCTTACTTATTCTCAATATTGTAATACAGTGAGTCCTTTTGGGAACCCATGTTTTGCCCTGAGAGTTGGTGTGAGCTTTTCTGACTGCCTGCTTCCCTTGATGTATTAGAAAATCTCTGCTATCCACTGAGCATGAGTGACTAGCAGTTAGAAATAATGAGTAGAAGAGAAGGGACCACTATGTGATAGTTGGAAATGATCACTCTGGACAAGAACTGACTGCTGAAAGGAGGTAAAGGGATATACATGATAATCTCTCAGTACCTGGACCATAATGCCTGTGTGTGGGTGGGGGGGGGGGGAGAGACAGACAGAGAGGCAGAGAAAGAGAGGGAGAGAGGAGAGAGAGAGAGAGAGAGAGAGAGAGAGACAGAGACAGAGAGACAGAGAGAGACAGAGAGAGAGAGGAAGAGAGAGAGAGAAGAAAACTGTGTGTGCTATAGAGGCAGGCTGGTGGGCAGGGGGGAGGGAAACTGAGGACATTGATGGTGGGAAATGTACACTGGTGGAAGGAGGGGTGTTGGAACATTGTATGACTGAAACCAATCATGAACAACTTTGTAACTGTGTATCTCATGGGGATTCAATTTTAAAAAAGGAAGAAAGAAATAATGAGTATAGAAGAAATCTAGTTTGTTGTTGTCATTGCTCTTTTTAGGAACTAGAGAAGCCTCCAGTCCCAATTTTTGAGGACTGACTAATGGAATTATAAATTAATAATGGATACTTTACCTGGGAGCATGTCTTTTTTAAAAATTTTTATTAGCAAAACACCATGAGGTACAGTTGTAGACTTACAAATTTTTGTGCTTGGGTTTCAGTTATACAATGATTGAGTATCCATCCCTCTACCAGTGCCCATTCTCCACCACCAATGATCCCAGTATCCCTCCCACCCCCCATTCGCCTCTTCCTGCCCAGCCTCTGTGGCAGGGCATTCCCTTTTGTTCTCTCTCTCCTTTTGGGTTCTGTGATTTGCAAAAGAGTTATTGAGTGGCAATCATGTTTGGTCTGTAGTCTACTCTGGGAGCATATCTTAGCCTTCCAAACAGAAGCCTTGCTTGCGTTGAACATCAGATGCATGAGTGTGGATTGATTTTAGCCTGATAGAGGTCGTGTTAATCCTGGGTCTTTTCTGCACAGGTATTTCATTAACCAGGGAGCCAGCGTGGGCATGGTGAATAGTGAAGGGGAAGTCCCTTCTGACCTTGCGGAAGAGCCTGCAATGAAAGATCTTCTTCTGGAGCAAGTAAAGAAGCAAGGTAACTGAGGGATCGGAGAGGGTCAAGAGAGGCTCTTGAACACTGCTACTTAAGAATTGCTGTGTGTAGAACTTTTCATTATCACATGGTAAGCGATTGGATCTGTCTGCACAGCAATAGCCAACCATATCACTTACGACCGAGTATCCTCTTAATAACTCTCCCAGGTAGGTCAGATACCAGAAGGATAACTCTTCCTGGTTTTTGACTCTCTAAGCTTGTATGGTTTTCATACCCTAAAAAATTCAGAATTTTTGTGCTTAGTTTATAGCAGTACCTCCCACAGTTTGCAGTGTAATGTTTAAAAAGTAACTTTTCACCAACTAGGTTTTAAAAAATAGATGAGATTTGAGAAACAGTCTTCTATGTTGAATACTTACTCTTCACTGAAGAAGTCTACTTATATATGTCTGCTTAATTTTGCAGTGCCGTTCACTCTTTGTGTGTGAAGTTTGGGTCTGTTCTAAATCATTTACCCCTTTCAAACTCTCATGCACTGCTGGTAGGAATGTTGTCTGGAAAAACCCCTGTGGGAAATGATATGGAGAGTTTTCAGCAAACTTAGATTTGAACTGCCATATGAACTGGCAATTCCCTTTTGGGCATCTACTTCTAGGACCTAAAATCACTCTCTGAAAAGGACTGTCACAGTCATTGTCCTCCCGTTGTTCATCGATTTTCTCCAGTGGGCCCAGTAACGTCTCCATCATGAGACTTTGTTGTTACTGTGTTTGACATATCGAATATGTCACAGCTGGGCTCTCCAAGAGCGGTGGAGGAATCGAACTCAGGTTGGCCATGTTGACTGCTTGCAAGGCAAACGCCCTACCCACTGTGCTATCGCTCCAGCCCTGAAAAAAACATATATACATTATTATTCATTGCTGCGCTCAGTACAATAGCTAAGATATGGAATCAACCTAGGTGTCCAATGACAGATGAATGAATTATGCAGATGTGGTATATATACAAAATGGAATGTTATGCAGCTGCAAGGAATGATGATATCATGCAGTTTGCTGCATTGTGGGAACTGGAAGATATGTTGAGTGAAGTAAGCCAGAGGAAAGACAAACACAGAATGATCTCAATTATTTGTGGTATATAGAATACAGGACAAGTAAATATATTGTAATAAAAGGGTGATGCCTTGATCACCCTTGACCCAATGTTTAGAAAGGAGAAGGACAGAGAAGGAAAGAAATCAAGGGGGAATGAAGAGAATGGGAAGTAATGGGTGAACAGGCATGATGCCTGTTCAGTTATACTGGTGATGTGATGAGTAGTATAGCCATATATCCAAAACACAGACTCAACAAAAATGAAAACATGAGATCTAAGCTATAACCACTGAAACCTTGTAATTTGCCTGTCTAGTTGACAGGCAAGAATGGGGTGGGGGTTGGGATGGGGAGGAACATGGGAACACTGGTGAAGGGAAGTTGACACTGGTGGTGGAATTGGTGTTGGACTATCATATGCTTAAGACTCAAGTATCAATAACTTTGTAAATCAGAGTTCTTTCATTTAAAAAAATGAAAAAAATTATTCCTTTCAATTCATCAAAGGGATAATAGCAATTGTAAATGTGTATGCACCAAATATCAAAGTATCAACTATATCAAATAAATACTAATAGATAAGAAGGGGAAAACAGACAATGACATGACAAGAGTGAACTTAATTCCTCACTTTCAATAATGACTAGATCATTCAAACATAAAAATTAATAAGAAAACTGTACTTTAGAGCAGACAGACCTATTTTACATCTGTAGATCACCTGTCTGCCCAGTAACAGTAGAACTCACACTGAAGTGTTTATGAAAAATTTTAGAGGCTAGATTGTATTTTATGGAACAAAAACAAATTTTATAAAACTTTCAAAGATTAACATTATGCCATGTGTCTTTCCTGACCACAGTTATATGAAACTAGAAATTTGAAACAAATAATGTGGAAATTAAACAGTGTAGTGTAGAATAACCAATTTGGGTCAAAAGAAATTTAAAGAATCTTAAAACAAATGAAAATGAAAAATAGCTTACTAAATCTAATGGGTTGCAATAAAAAACAGTCCTAAGAGAGAATTTTTTTAATGTATTTTTTTTTATTACTGAAACACCATGAGGTACAGTTATAGACTTACAAATTTTTGTGCTTGGGTTTCAGTTATACAGTGATCAAGTACCCATCCCTCCACCAGCGTCCATCCTCCACCACCACAGGTCCCAGCATCCCTCCCACCCCCCATCACCCCCAGCCCACCCTGCCTCTGTGGCAGGGCATTCCCTTTTGTTCTCTCTCTCTCTCTCTCTCTCTCTCCTTTTGGGTACTGTGGTTTGCAAGAGAGGCATTGAGTGGCAGTCATGTTCGGTCTATAGTCTACCTTCAGCATGCTTCTCCCATTCTGGGAGGATCCTCCCAACAACCTTTAGTTGGTGCTCCCTTCTCTATCTGAGCTTCCTTTTCCCCTAGCACGTGTGGCTGGCCTCCAAGTCATGGAGCAAAATTCCTGGTACTAGTCTAAGAGAGAATTTTTATATCCTAAATACTTATATTAAGGAAAAAGAATAGAGTCAGAGAGATAGCTCAACTGACTAGAGTGTTAAATGTAGGAGATCTGGTTTTATTCCTAAGACCAGCATAGCCCCTGACTATCTCCAGGAGTGACACCAAACCTGGAATAGCCCCTTAGTAATGCTACATGTGACCCCAAAACAAACAAAAAGAAAAAGAGTTATCTTAAAAACTTCATAACACAAGGAACGAGAAAAATAAAACCAAACTAAGTCCAACGTTACCAAAAAGAAACAACAAAGAGTAGAGGAGAAATAATCGAAACTCTTACCCACTTCAGTCCTAGTAAACTATAGAAGATAATACCTTTTCTAAAAAAAATGCACAAGCAATAAGTTTATTCATCATCAGTACCGTAAACTTGAACACTACTATGATGATGTTACCTAAACTATAATAAGAAAAAAGAAACAGGAAACATTGGACCCTTGAGGTAGCTGCTATTCTGCTTCAGCAAATTTTAAGTTTAACTATATTGGGAAGTCACCTCATTTTTTTAAATTTGGTTTTCTTTCTTTAATTAATGAACAGTGTTTGTCAAGTTGAGAATCAAGTTAATATGATGTATCACTCTTAGGGTGAGAATAGAAAGGGAAAATTGTTAATGAGAAGGGTGACACAAGATTACAAAATGTGTTTGTGGTATTTTAATCATTAAGATGATGATGCATAGGTATTTCCTATATTGTGATCCATGTACTCCTATATATATATAAAATGCTTTTAATAAATAAATGATTATAAAGTAGAAAAAATAAAATAAAATAAAAATTTAAAAAATGCATAAGGATGGAGAGATAGTACAGTGAGTAGGGCACTTGCCTTGCAGTGGTTGACCTGGGTTGGACCCCTGGCATCCCATATAGTCTCTTGTGTACTGCTAGGAGTAATTCCTGCATGCAGAGCCAGAAGTTACCCCTGAGCATTGCCGGGTGTGGCCCCCAAACCAAACTATAAGTAAATAAATAAAAGATATACATGTTGATACACCTTTGGAATAAGAATAACCCAAGATTCAAACACAGTTCAAATAAATAAAATGAGATTTGAAGGAAGAGCGCTTATAACTGATGACACAGAAATGAACCATAAGGAACTACCATGAATAATGCCAACAAGTTGTCTAACCTAGGAAAAATGGATCAGTTCCCAGAAATATGCAACCTACCAATGTTGAAACAGGAAGGAATAGAAGATCTGAGGAGACTGATGAAAAGTCACTGTCACTATCACTGTCCTCCGTTGTTCATCAATTTGCTCAAGCGGGCCCAGTAACATTGTGAAACTTGTTGTTACTGTGTTTGGCATATCGAATATGTCTCGGGTAGCTTGCCAGGCTTTGCCGTGTGAGCTAGATACTCTCGGTAGCTTGCTGGGCTCTCTGAGAGGGCAGAGGAATCGAACTCGGGTTGACCAGGTTGGCCTTGTGCAAGGCAAACACCCTACCCGCTGTGCTATTGCTCCAGCCCATGATAAAAAGTAAGGAGATAGAATCAGTTATCTATCAAGAAAAGTCCAGGACCTAATGGCTGCACTGGGAAACTACCAACTGTAATTTTTGTTCATTTTTTGGGGGGGGGTCTATATCCCATGGCGTTCAGGCGCTACTACCACCTTTGTGTTTGGGGGTTGTTTATGACAGTGTTGGAGGAACAGTAGGTGAGAAACAAACCCACATCTCCCAAAGTGTGCACTCAATCCATTGAGCTCTGTCTCTGGCCCCTCTCCAAAATATTTAAAGATGAATTAACAACAGTCCTTCTCAGATGCATCCCCAAAAATTAAAGAAGAGAAAATATTCCTAAGCTCATTTTATGAGTCAAGCATTTCCTTGATATCAAGCAAGAGAAGAATTCTGTAAGAAAACAAAACTATACGCTAATAGTTCTGATGACTATAGACACAAAACTTCTCAACAAAATATCAGCTTTCTAGCAGATTAATAAAATTATCATTTTATCATGATAAAATAGGATTTATGTGTGAGACGCAAGGATGGGTTCAAATCAATACATGTCACACATCACATCGCTAAACTGATTGACTATACAGAACATATTTTCATGAAAATAAGTTCTTAACAGTTTGGGTTAAAACAACCTCAACATAATGAAATCATGAAATCAAATTGGACAGGCCAACATATAACATTTGACTCAATGCTGAAAGATGAAAACGCTTTTTTCTAAGATCAGGAACATCACAAAGTTACCTACTATTAACAGTTATATTCAGCATTGTACTGCGTAAGGTCCACCAAGCACTGCCGGCAATGATTTCTGAGCACAGAACCAGGAGTAAGCCCTGAGCACAAAACAAAACAAAAATATAATATCAAAGGGAGTTAGAAGAAGTTGATAGCAACCCTCTAGAATGACTTTGAGGGGTTAAAGACTTCCTTGGAGGAGGTATCCACACATG